CGGATGAGAGGAGGACGGACGGGGTGAGAGGAAAGACTAGGAGGGGTCAGAGGCGGGCACGGAGACGAGAAGCACGTCACCGACACTCGTTAGTTTCAGTATGTTCCCAACTGCCCCTCCTCTGCTCCACTGATACTGAGTTAAGAAGACCAAGTAAGGCATTGGGGAAGTGTGTGTCTGGGCCTCCCCTTCTCTCTCAGGACCACTGACCCCACCCATGAACCTTTCAGAAGGAGCTCGGTGCTCATCTGTGCCACATCAGAATTCGCCGTGAAGCTTCGCAGGGGCAGCTGATCCTCGTCACGGTGGTACAGGAAATGCAGCAGCTTCAATGTCCAATTCAGGTGCCTGGACCAGAGACAGAGTGTGGCTTAGAAATATGTGGGATGCTAGTCTTACTCCCTTTGCCCCTTCACACAAGCTCAGTGCAGCTACTGGGCTGGTTATGGAGACCCCAGCACACAGCTCCAACTATCACTCTCCACACTTCTGTGTCAGGAGAGACCTCACCTCTTTTGACTATTCATGGACAACACCACGCTTGTGATTTCCATCTTCACCTTGACCTGGTCTGGCAGCTGCTGAAGGAGGTATAGGCCAGGCAGAGTTGGCTCAGCCAAGTCCTCTGTCACCTCTGAAAACACCAATAAATAATACAAAAGCCATCAACTCTTAACACTCAAGTCTCTCAATATGCCATGCCCTCTTCAGCCAAACCTTCCCACATAAAGTAGGCTAGGCAATTGTCCAAACCTAGGCAATAAGGCCAAGATCCCAGAGATCTAGGCACCTACTGTACTTCCTTCCCCAGGGTCTAAAAAACAGTCTGGAGGACTTCCCTGGTGGCACAGTGGGTAAGAATCTGCCTGCCAATGCAGCGGACACAGGTTCAACCCCTGATCCAAGAAGATCCCACATGCCACACAGCAACTAAGCCTGTGCGCCACAACTATTGATCCCGTACTCGAGAGCCTGCAAGCCACAACTAATGAGCCTGTGTGACACAACAGCTGAAGCCCAAGTGCCTAGAGCCTGTGCTCAACAAGAAAAGCCACCGCAATGAGAAGCCTGTGCACTGTAACAAGAGAGTAGACCCAGCTCTCTGCAACTAGATAGCTGGCATGCAGCAACAAAGACCCAGTGTGGATAAAAATAAAGTAAATAAGTGTAATAGTGTGTATATGTCAAAATAAATAAAAAACAGTATGGAGAGCAGGTTATTATAATGAAAAGAATACCGACTTTGGGGCCAAATAATTCAAAACCCATTTTTACTACTGACTACCCATTCGATCTCAGTCAAGTTATCTAATCTCCCTAGGCACTTTAGTTTCCTCATTTGTGAAACACTGAGGATTTAGTAGGGGAACATGTACAAAACACAAAGTTCAGGCCTCATTTATGATAATTACCCACTAAATGTTCTTTCATGTACCACAAGCAAATGCCCTCTATCCTCTAGCGATCCTCAAAGGCCAGGATTAAAGGCTGTGCAAATAACAAATCACACCTAAGTGAGTGGTGAGACCGCTGTTTTTTGTTTTTTTTTTAACTTCCAAAAGCATGCCCAACGGGGAAGCTAAGAAGCTCACTGACTGGGACTTTACCTGAACAGGGAAGAGGCTTGGGGGCCAGGCCTGCGCCCTGACGCAGCAGCTGACTGTGAAAGAGGCCCTCATGCAGTTCGGCATGGAGTGTCCACACATCCACTGTGATCGCCTTCAGCTGTCCGCTGCTGATGCCCACCTCAAGACACAGCTTTAGGGCAAGTGACAGCTCCGCTAGACAGGTGTCCTCCTACAGGGAAGATAGGCCTCTAAGGTGTGACTGTGTCGGGAGCTTACAGTCAAAATGCTGTGGTCTGGAACACATCCCTGAGGGAACCCCACAGCACACATAATCTAGAGTGCAAGCCCTGAGTGCCTTTGTATTTTATGCCCAGAAGAAAAATAAGGCATCTGAATGACTGTGACATACTCACCAACTGGCCGCTCTTTAGAACTTTGCTGTTGATCTGACTTAGGCTCACCTCACATTTCAGCCTGGGAAAGGAAAAAAAAAAAAAAGAGCGCCTGGCCCCCTTCCTCATCATTAACCTTCAATCGAGCTTTGTTGGCTGGAAGGCACAAGGCAAGCAGAAGTGCTTAATCTTACTCTCTCCTCAAATCACACAGAATGAGAGAACATGACACCTTGATAAGAAGGCCCTGATATCCACCCCACCTGAAACAAGTGTAAGGCAACAACAGGGTTACCAAATCTTCTCCTACCCAGTGCTTACCTCTTCCCATCACTATCCAAAAGAAAACTGCTTTCTCTGATCTGAATATGCCACAAGGACTCAGAAGTAGCCACCTTGAGGACCATGATGTTTATAGAATCTACATGAATGGAAAACAGCTGGAAGGAAGATGCAAAGATGAATGATAATTAATATCAAGGCAATGTCGTTCCTTTCCAGTGGAAAAAGAATGAGGCACCTCTTAGTGTTATGCCTTAAGTACATTAGAAAAAGTCACCCGTGACTCCAAAGCCAGCCATTCCTACTTCAGTCCAGGGAAGTGGGAAAGTAGCCTCACCTGGCAGATCTTCAATAAGGATGGGCTGAAGGCCAGTTCCTTTTGGTGCGCCCCAGTACTCTGGGAGAATGGGGCAAACAGGCTAGAAACCTTCTGCAGGTCAGTTCTGATACGTACTTCTCCAAAGCACAAGGCCACATAGTGTCTGTCCAGGAGAGAAATCTCACTGCCATTCAGATCCAAACCCCTTCCTTCCACACCAGTCTTTTCCCCTCCGTCATACCCATTTTCCCATCCTCCCTAAAAATATAGCTCAAATCATGGAAGAAAGTCTCACAGTACTTATCAATATCTGTCTCACAAAACAACAGCTTCCAGGCTAACTAACCCAGAGACATCAGCAAGAACCCACTTCCCTCCTTGGGCTGTGGGGCCTCTGTAAACGAACCTCAATCTGCAAACCACAATCCTAAAATATTAAAAGAGGAGAGTGAAGAGATAGGGTACTCACGGCAGATCATGGCTAAGGAGTTTGCTGGAAATCCACAGGCTATCGATTTCCTAAAACAGTGTGGGAGGAAGCTTTGTACACTAGCTGTTAGGTAATCCCAGAGCAGTTTGACAAGACAAGAAAGGGTATAAGAAGAGAAGGAAGTGCAAGAGCCCTTCCACTATTCTCCATTCCATTTGCCCCAGCCTCTCTCCTCAGTACTATATCTTGTTCGTCTCAGTGACATTGGTTAGACTTTAATATTTCTCTTTCATGGATTTTTGCCATTTCCCCTCTTATATTAGAATGGTAATCTTCGTTATCTTTGTTCTCTGCGTTACTTCTGTATTTTTGTTCTGTACTTTACTTCCCTATCTTTTTTACATGCCCTGGACACCCTGTGCCTCAAAAGCATTTTTATTTTTTTTTAAAGCATTTTTAAAAGTACAATTTGCATCAGTTCCAGTATTCCCAAACAGGCTCTAAAATCATCTTGGCAAAGGGGTGGCAAGGCTGGGTTAACTAGGAAAGCACCAGGATTTTTTAAAAAGTTAATTAAAAGTTGAAATTCAGCTAGATCAACCCACATACATTCCCCAGGACTCACCACTGTTTGCTGGTGCTGCTGAAACTTAAGACTGACATTCTGAATCCAAAAAAAGGAGCCAATCTTTAGTTCCGCCTGCAGCTTCTGCTGACACCACTTGGTGGCCAACCGGACCACAAGCCACCTGCAGAAAAATCCTTGTGAGTTCACAGGACCCTCTCCCAAAGAGTGGCCACCCTCACCCCCTGCAGGTCTTAGAAAGCCTGGCAAAGGGTCATGAACTGGAGCTGGATCTTCTGGGCAATTGTCCTGTCTCCCAAAACACCACTCTGCCATATATATTCAGTCACGCTGATCAGGATCCTAGCCCCAAAGTGTCCCCACCACCCAAATGAACTCAGACAAACTAAGCGCCACCGTTTAAATTGGAGACAAAGAAAGCAATCCCTCAAATCCTTAGGAACCTCAGAGGTAGAGAGAAGAGGTCCCGACAGGAGTTGAAGTCCAGGCATCCGTGTCAGGTGTGCCATCACACAACCCCCTAAAGGTCTCTTTCTCCGCCCTCCAGACAGGTGTCTGCGAGAAGGCAGTGTGCGGTCACATCCGGCCGGCTCCAATGCCGCTCTCCCTGGGCAGCCAGACCTGTTCCGGCTCTCTAGGGCGAGGCTGCAGGTGCCCTTCGCACTCGGGGAAGGGGACATTCTGGGCATGCGGTTGGGGAAAGAAAAACCACTATGCCGGGCCCCCTCCTCATTCACACCCCTATCCGCGACCCAATCTCAGCATCTTCTGAGGCCTCGGCCGCTAGCTCAGTCTCCGGGTTCTCGCGGTTCCCTCCCGCCAGCTCCACTCTTACGCCCCCGCTCGACCCCTCCCCTCGTCGCGCGCCTCCTCCCCGGCCCCTCCCCCTTCGCCGCCCGCGCAACTCCCCCTAACCCCCTCCCGCGCGCCTCTTTCCAGCGCGCCCCCTCCTCAGTCTCTCTTCCTTCCCTTCCCACCCCCTCCGCCACCCGCCGTGGCCGGGATCCCCTCACCGGCCTAGGAAGAGGGCGCTGAGCCCTAACAAAAGCAAGGCCAACAGCGCGGAGAAGAACAGGGGCATTCCGGCCCCGGCCCGGCCTGGCTCCGGCCCCGGCCCGGCCTGGCTCCGGCCCCCGCCCTGCCGGGGCGCCACCCCCGACCCCGCGCCCGCCCCGCCGGCTCCGAGCTGCGCCGCCGCGGGCCGACCAACAGCACGCGCAGGGACGACGCTGGGCGAGGGAACGTTGTCGCGTCTGCGCCCCGCCCCCCGCAGCCCGCCAGCCAGCCAGCCGTCTCCCTGCTCTGCCCCGCCCGACTCCCGCGATCCAGCGGGGCCGACTGGCTGCTTGCGCGAAGTGAAGGCGTGGCTCCGGAAGGAGAGCGCAGGGTAGCGGCCCACGACTGACACACAAGCCCCGCCCCCGGGCGCACCGTTCGGAACCCGGAAAAGCGGAGCCGGGGGTTTGCCACCGGCCCGCGGCCCTCCTCGGTGGCTGGCAGTGGTCTTCGCTGGGTAGTTTCGGCCGCGGAAAGTTCCACTTTCAAAGCAGTTTCCCGAAGTAGTTGTAGAGTCTGCTTGGGGCTCGGATTGAGGCTACCGCGGAAGTTATACTTCTGAGTCACACAAACTAGTTATCTTAACTCATTCTTGTCTGAACATGGGTAAGGAGGAAACCAAGAGGTAATTAAAAGGCCTCAAAAATCCCACCTCATTCCATCCACAAAGGAATGAGTTGCACCATTCTGGACTCTTCACCGAAGTTTTCAGTTACTACTGAGAACAGCACCATTTAGGCACTGGGCTAGTAGGGGGATATTACTGAAGTAGAGAATATTGTTCTTGCACTTCAGCAACAATTTACCTGGGGAGCAAGCATAATTACACGAAATAGAAAATTCAGAGTCAACTTTGCCTGTTTCCTTCTCTGTAAAACGAAAGCACTGGACAGTTTCTGTCCGACTCTAGTGCAGGGATGTCAATACAAGCTAAAGAAATTTAGCTTTAGCTTCTTTGACATACTTATTTCAAAATAAGTACTTCATATCCCTTTGCTCTTACATCCTAACCTCCTAAACATCTTCCAGGCTTTCTCTTGGAGACTTTTTTCACTCCTACAGATAAGCACCATTTCAGCTTTCACCTAGGTTACCCAGAGTTGCTTTTACCCCTCCAACTGGTTTCCTTTCACATCTAGTCCTCTTATCGGTCATTTCACATCTCCCCAAGGCTCCAGCACTTTTTTTTCTAAGTTTATACTTATCTCCAGTGCTAGAGGTCCTCCATCCACCTTGTAACCTGCAGCCCCAAGGTATATTCTTTCTTTCCTGACTTTCAGGAAGGGCCCAACAACCGAGTAAAAACACTGACCAAGCCACTGAGAAGTACTTGCAACACAACTCCCTACTCTTACATTATGAAGAGTTACTCTTTACTTAACTGTTTCCTATCACTTCCTTTCTCCCCAGACCGTTACCACTCTACTCTCAACCATCTGAATAGCATGAAATGTTGATCTTGTCTTTTGTCTACTTCTTTTTGGAGAGACTTCAAGCAAGCAATGCAACTAAAATGGAAAAAGAGAAGGCAGAGATGGCGTTCCTCAAGTAGTTCCTGGCCTCAGCTTACTGAGACAAGTCCTTGTAAAAGGGATCAATCAGTTTAATGTTATGGGCCACATCTGGCACAGACCTGGTATCCCCAAATGTTCAACATTAACTCCCTAAAGCAAGTAAGGAAAAAAATCCAGGTTTCTAAAAATAAAACGGGCCTGCTAAGTCACGAAATTCCAGCAGATGGCAGTCACTTCTGTTTATCACTAACATCCTTGAAGGACAGAGGCGCAAACTTGCTGGATCTACCCAGCAGAGAAAAGAAGTGAGGTAAACAGAGGACAAAAGTTTTCCAACCCCTTTTCAAAGAGAGATATCTATATTTGTCCAAAAAGTATAGTTATCTCCCAAGAGCTAAATACAGTTGTACTGCAGTAAAAAGAACATATGGCAGACACAGCTGGATTCCTATATTCAAATTACTTACTAGCTTTAAGAATTCAGGCAATAACTCAACTATTCCGTTCTGCATCGATAAAATTGTAGTATCTACCTGGTAATGTATTTGTGAGGATTAAATGAGGTGAGATCTATAATACGGTGCCTAGTATTTAGCAAACAGTAAATAAATGTTGGTTCCATTTCTATCTCTACCCCTTTTGCTCAAGTGCAGTAACATATCCAAAGTAAAACATTTTACGGGCTATTTATTAAGGGTCTTTAGCCATAGTTAGTCAAAAATCTAATAAAGATGAGGTGCTGAGGGAAAAGAGAAGGTAAAGACAGAAAAAGTAGGATGCAAGCAAGGCTCTCAAAAGGGTCCACACCATACATGTATACGCAGGGCTGAATCCCTCCACTGTTCACCTGAAACTATCATAACATGGTTAACTGGTTATACACCAATACAAAATAAAGGTTTTTTTAAAACAAGGATCTACATCAAAGGTTCCCATCATCTCAAAACTTAGCAATGACTTTTAGGACTCAAGGATTAATCAGATTATGAAATAGCACACCTAGGGCTTCCCTGGTGGCTCAGTGGTAAAGCATCTGCCTACCAATGCAGGAGACATGAGTTCGATCCCTGGTCCAGGAAGATGCCACATGCTAAGCCCAGGAGCCTGTGCTCTTGAGCCTGGGACTATTGAAGCCCACATTCTACAGCCCGTGCTCCCCTACAAGAGAAGCCACCGCAATGGGAAGCCCACACATCTCAACTAGAGAGTAGTCCCCGCTCACGGCAACTAGAGAAAAGCCCCACAGCAATGAAGACCCAGAAAACCAATAAATAAAATTATTAAAAAAAAAAAAAAGAAAGAAATAGCACACCTAATAAATGACAACACAGTGACTAACAATGAAATTCTTTTATCGTTTAAAGAAAGTGGAAGAAAAATCACACACATTAATAATCCATGATGCCAAATTTCTGAGGAATAAAAATTTCCTAGCTAGGAGGAATGCCTCCTTCAGTTTTTGTCCTATTAATATGAATAAAAAGCTTCTGCTCCCTCACCAACAAGTCTTGTATTCAGAAAGAACTGACCCAAGTCTGGGAGAACCACCCACTCAAGTGTGAAGGGCTGAAGCTTCCAAACACAGCCATGGTTTCCTGTCATTCATCTTCATCTCAGTGATGACACGGCCACTGCCCAGGGAACCTGTGGCAGGGATCCAAAGGGTGAAGGAGCAGCAGACATCTAAGAACACTGTGTGGTGACAGCGGCTTACAGCCTCCAGACTCATAGCTCTGTGTGGTGACCTTCTGCCTTCAACAACTCGCTGGGCTTCATGAAAATGCCTTCCATGGCTTTCCAGTAGTTGTTCTGGCTTGGCTGGGCCATGCCATGCACCTCCTTTTGCCCACTGATGGGTCGACCATATTGTTCTCCTGTGACAGACAGCAGAACCTCGGTGGAAGAATGCTTGAACCGCACCTCACCATCCCTCACCCAGTAGGGCCCATTACAGAGCACTGTCCAGTCATCCAGATAATCGCCTTCACCTTCCTCGCCAAAAGCACTCACTTCCTGGAAGACACACATAGGTAGCAATATTAGTATAGCTGACACAGGCTTGAAAGGGGGAGGGAGGCAATGGGAAGAAAACGAGGCTATCCAAGAGTGAAAAACAAAAGGCTCTCCAGTGTTGTTTAAAAATAAATTACTTTGCAAATAATCCTCTACTTGCCTTATATTTTCTCTTATAGTCTGAAAACACTTTACCTCTTATTATTTGACTTTAAATATTCCTACTGCATTCCCTTAACTAGACATTAAGTGACCTGATGAGAAACACAAGGCAGAAATGGGATGGGCTCTGGAGACAGGCAAACCTTGAACGTCAGCTTTGTCCCCTGCTGTGTAACTCCTTTGCGCTTTCATTGTCTCCTCTATAAAGTGATGATAATAGTAACTTACAAAACAATTGTGAGAATTAAATAATAAATATTAATTGAGCAAAGTATAGTAAATTCTATTTTCCACTTGTATTCTAATCCCATTCCCCGTAAGATCAAAAATCCAGAGTTTCTATAACAATTTTAAAAGTTGCTGATATTTCAGACATTTATAATTTTTCTAAATTGAAGTATAATTGACCTACAACCCTATGTTACTTCCAGGTGCACGACATACTGACTCAATATTTCTTATACACTACAAAATGATCACTACCAAACACATGTAACTTAAATATACACTTACAGCTATAAAATTTTAGATGATAAAAAAATCAGTCAATTGGAAATAAAGACTAAAGTCAAAAGAAACTACATGTAATTAATAATCCTACTACTATACCTGTATAGTGGAACTGAACAGTAAGTAAATGGATGACAGCATTGGGAACCAGGTGTCTCACTGTTAAGAGTGGGAATTTACAAATAAGCAGAGAGGAGGCTAAAATGATCTATGTGACAATGGATTAGAGTTGGAGAAATCAGTTAAGAACTCATGTTTAACTTACAGATACAATTACATATATGATCACTTATAGACATGTATATATACATATACAGGCATGTTATTTCTTTGCTCTGGCAGGTGAGAGGGTCTCAAAGAAACAAAACCCCAGTAGCAGTGAGTTCATGCAAGGCCTATATCTTGGTTTCTAAGAATACTCTTCTCCAATAAACGGAAGCAGGATTCCGTAGGGAAACAGCTGAATCTAGGACTGGGGAAAGAAATAGACAAGATAAGCCTGTAATAATTTAGTGCCATAAAGTAAGGAAGTGTTAAAAACACAGCCACACACAAACACAATGAGGGGAGCATGTCAAATGGATACAGGAGGCAACTGAAAGAGCTCCCAACAGCCAAAGTTGGAATAATGTGAGCAACATAATAAAGACAGTGGTATTGGATAAAAAAAATACATATAAAAGTACATATAAAAAAAAAATCCAGGAATCCATATCAAGAAGTCCATGTCGATATAAATAAATGATTGAATAAATACAGAAAAAACAAATCTCCCATGCAGAAGAATTCCAAATAAATTATGTAGCTATTCCACCCTAGAAGAGGAGGAGCGTAACTCCCCACTCAAATAAGGGCTGTGCACAATGACACAAGAGTCAGAGTTCTCCGTCCGAGGAGCACAGTACGGAGAGGCGAAAGACGACAAGAATAACTTTACCAGACAAACCTGAGAAACGCTACTTCAGCCAGGTCATCAATATCAACAATCAGAAGATACTACGCACCCTTGAGAGATGAGATGAAAATGGTGCTTTACCTCTGTGGTCTACCTCCCAAAAACCTTTATAAATCTGGTCTAATCATAAGAAAAGATCAGACAAATTCCAACAGAGGAGCACCCAATCGTATACCTGATTGGCACTTCTCAAAACTGTCAAGGTCAACAAAAAGAAGGAGGATCTAAGAAACTGTCACAGCCAAGAGTAGCCTAGGGAGACAACTAAATGTAATGTGGATGGGATCCTGGAACAGCAAAAGAACATTAGGTAAAAAACTAAGGAAATCAGAAGGAGCTATAGACTTTAGCTGATAACAATGTATCAGTACTGTCTTATTAACTGTAACAAATTTACCATACTAATGTTAAAAATGTTAACAGGAAAAACTATGTACAGAGTGGAGGTGAGAAGAAAGCACTCATTAAGGGATCCACATCCTCAAAAGTTCAAGGCTTTAAAATAAAGGGGGCACAATTCCTAATTCATTCTCCTAATGTGGTTAGTTGGCATCATTAGAAAATAATAATATTTTTTATTGCAAGTTTGGAAAACATTGGGTTTCTTTATTGCAAGATTTATCAGGATAACTTATGATACACTAACATATACCTAGCCTCTCTTTCTGCCTCATCTCTTGATCTAGATGTAATCTCTGTTTTGACCAGAAACAATTTCCTTCTCCTTATGAGACAGGCAATTCTTCAGGTCTGTACAGAAGAAACTTATACCTGGAAGAGAAAGGGCCAAGAACCAAGGTATCAAACAATTCAACTAAGTAAATGCTCTGTTGAGCAGCAGTGACCCATAGAATGCCACCTCACCTGGTTTCCAGAAAGAGGTGAAGTGAAGTGGTGACTATGGAGGTTTCGGCCAGTGTTGACATGTGTCAGCCGGATAGGCTGACCACATCTGATGGGAGTTCCCCTCTCACATACTGTGGCCGTCTTCCCTCGTATTCTCCAGTAACTGTTGCTGTCATCCACAGAGGTTACACCTGTCACCGACTGCTGTCCACTACCTGCAGCCAAAAAAAAAATATATATATATATAAAGGACCAGTCAGAATGGCCACCATCAAAAAATTCTACAAACAATATATGCCAGAGAGGATGAAGAGAAAAGGGAACCCTCTTGCACTGTTGGTGTAAATGTAAATTGATACAGCCACTATGGAAGACAGTATGGAGATTTCTTAAAAAACTAGAAATAAAACTATCACATGACCCAACAATCCCTCTCCTGGGCATATAGCCTGAGAAAACTATAATTGAAAAGGACAGATGTACCATAATTTTCATTGCAGCACTATTTACAATAGATAGGACATGGAAGCAACCTAGATGTTCATTGACAGATGAATGGATAAAGAAACTGTGGTACATATATACAATGAAATATTACTCAGCCATAAAAAGGAACACATTTGAGTCAGTGCTAATGAAGGAGATGAACCTAGAGCCTGTTATACAGAGTAAAATCAGAAACAGAAAAACAAGCATCATGTACTAATGCATACGTATGGAATCCAGAA